AAAATTAAAAAAAAAACTAATAATATTCTCAATTTTACTAAATAGGACTTATGTGTTCAAAAATTCTTAGATAGGACCTAAGCTACCATAATATTTGTAAATAGAACTTTTAGGTAATTAACTCTTTTTTTAATTAGATTATTAAATTCACATAAAAATTGAAAAGAATTTGTGTAAAATTAGATATTAGTGAAGAAATATATATATATATATATATTTAAAAAGTTTATAGTATTTGATTTGGCTTCCCATTTTTTATTAATTTTTTTATGACTTTTGTTTTGTATTTTTGAATTTTCATGCTTTTGTCTTTGACAATTTGTTTTAATAACCTTTTTATTTTCTTTTTAGATTACTTAATTTAATACTTTTTTTAGTTTTTAATTATACTTTTAGATTTAGATTCAGTTAATCTAAATACATTTAGAAAATAATTTGTTGTGTATTTTTTTTGGAAAAAAAATTAATAATAATAATAATAATAATAATAATAATAATAATAATAATAATAATAATAATAATAAAATCAGTACATGTTTGAATTTATAAATTTTTTTACTAATATTCTACTTTTTAATTCTATTTAGATTATTAGATATTATATTTTCATGTAAAAGCATAATTTAAATATAAAATATGAAGAAATTCCAGTATCTTTAATCACCAAAATTGAGAAAATATGAAAAATCAAAAATTGAAAAACAAATTTAAAAAATAAACAAATGAAAGTGGTTCTTGTTTAAAATTTTGACATCATAAGTTGGTTATTAAAGTACTATGTAAAATATCATAGTTCATAAGAAATAATTTAATAAAAAAGAAAGTGAACGAAGATAACTTGCGAATTTTTGAGATGCAGCACAAATCTCTATTTTAAAAAATGCATGCACTTTTTTCTGTCTAGATTTGAATGAATGCATACAATTTTAAGATTCAATCAAAATTATTCACAATGATTTGATCCATGATGGATAATTGTAAATATTATGTATATCAGTATAAAAGCAAACACATGAAATAAGAAAGAGTAATTATTTTTTGTTCTTCAATTATCATCAATGTAAAAAATAGAGACACACCTTTTATTTTTTTAGTAAAGCACCAATAAATCCCAAATAATGATCTTATGAACTATTTGGTCAAATTATTATTATTTTTTTTTGTTTTTTCTCTTCTTATAGATCCAAAGGTCTCATTCTAGTGTGAATTACATAAATGACCAAGTATAAACGTGCATGCTTTACGTACTGATGAACAAATGTGAGTTTTCTCATAATGTTAAAATTATTAAACTTTACACTTTTAAAAAATTTCTTAGTACACTTTTTCTAAACGTAACACTCCAAAAACGTAATACTCTAATGTAACGCATTAAAAAACTATGTACTTTTCTCAAACGTAACATTCCAATGTAACACACTAAAAAACTCTTTAGTATATTTTTTTCAAACATAACATTCAAAAAAACTCTTTAGTGTATTTTTTCCAAACATAACACTCAAATGTAATACTAAAAAACTCTTTAGTGTACTTTTATCAAACGTAACAATATAATATTTCAAAAAAATTCCTTAGTGTATTTTTTCCAAACATAACACTCAAATGTAGCACTAAAAAACTCCTTAGTGTACTTTTATCAAACGTAACAATATAACATTTCAAAAAAATTTCTTAGTGTATTTTTCCCAAACATAACACTCCAATCAATGTAACGCACAAAAACTCCATAGTTTACTTTTTTTTTCAAATGTAGCCCCTCTAATAAACACCAGAAAACTACACTAACAGAAATATCGATTTTCACGCTTGACAACTAACACTTCAGCCAATAATCCCTCAAAAAAGAATCTTCTATATCTCATATTTTCATTCTCATCCAAAAACGAATTAGAAAATTGAAAAAATGAATGAATGATGAAAGGACATTCAATTAAATTCAAATGGTACCAAATCAAATAAATATAACTTTCCAAAATAAAAGAGACTAATTGGCTCATAAGAAAACTCTTAAGACTAAGGGATCAACATTCCCCATATGGGATTTATTGGTAATTTTTTTTATTTTTTTATTTTTTTTATATGAAGGGAGAAGGTTTGTTTGTATTTATATAGGACTTTTGGAAGCAGATATATCATTTTTGACTGTTCAACTCCAAAAATAAAGAGATAGTTTATATAAGACTCTTCATGACTTTTAGAAAATATAGTAGATTTTTTTTTTAAAAAAAAGCAGAAAATATGGTAGGTTTTTCACACTTTTATAATAGTAACAATAATAATAATTGGATGTAATTATATAATAGATAAGAAAAATGTCATGATACTATTTAGTGGAAATAATATTAAAATGTATAACAAAGTCTTCATTATACAGGTTATCCGTTTCAATTTCGTACTATACAGATTTGAGACTAACCCATCATGTTTAATATTCGTGTTATTGGACGTGTCATATATTCATATCAGGAAATGGTCAACTCTAACTTGTTAACTTTATGTATGATTCTAGTCGTGTTATCGTGTTGTCTCACAAATTTCCACCCTTACTAATTACTTTTCGTGTCCCTATCAGGTAGCTTACATCAAGAGTATATTTGTCTTTCTCTTACCCATTTCGTATAGATTTCGGGTAGGTGATGTGATAGCACTCGTGCTATCACACTCTGTGTGATTTATTCAAATCATATTTTAATAATTTAAAATATTCGCATTATAGAATGATTTATTCAAATTATATTTTGATAATTCAAACTATTTATATTATAAGATTTGTTGAATATAAATTTAAGGCCCCAACATGTCTCCAGTTGGAGATCAAGATTGGACCATCCGGTCTGCTCCGTGGGCCCACTTTTGGGCCCCTTTGATAATCCGAACTATTCACATTTTAGGGTTCATCGAGTACATTATTCTTGTAAAAAATCAAATTAATCGGATAACAACAACTACGTGTTCGAATCAGTTTTGTATAAAAAGAAATGGATGGTAAAAAATAAACGGTTCATATAAAACTAATTTGAACACATAGTTGCAATTATCTAATCAACTTATTTTTTTTTATAGGGATAATGTACATGAGGAATCCTAAAATGTGAATGATTCGAATTATTGAAACATGGCGCAAAAGTAAACCCACTGAACGAACTAGATGATCTAGTCTTGATCTCCAACTAAAGACAAACTAGACCCTAAATTTAATCAGGTAAGTATAACCCATGATTTCACGGTAAATCAATTCAACCCAAGAGCATTTCCAATGGTAAACTATTGGAGTTGTCATTGGCAAAATTTGGCAAGAGTCTCCAAAAACCTTGTTCCAGTGGGCTGTTATAACCCCTGCCAAATTTGGCAATTACCATTTCCTCTACCAATGCCAAACTTGCCACATCATCCAAATAAACAGAATTTGGCTCCAAAATTTCCATGGAACAAACAAACACAGTGGAGAAAATCAATCAAGCAACACAATAATTAAAAAAAAAATTTGCCATTACATTAAATTTTGGAGAAATTATTACCATGAACTAACAAAAAAATAAAAATATATTAAAACAAAATCTAATAAATTCAAGGAATCTTACGCTTGAAAGATCATATGTAGAATTGATCATTCCTCTTTTCCCATTGCCATCGTCAAAGAAGATCGATTACGGTTTGAGTTTGGGTTTAAGAGGGTTTCAATTAGAGAGGGTGAAGCAAAGATAGAAATGGAGATGAGAACAATCGCTCTTTGGAGCCAAGTAGAACAATCACCATTTGGTGCACGATCGAAGAGACGACTGATGAACTAAGACGAGTTTTGGTGGGATGAGGCCATTGATCAAGGAGACAGTGATAAACGATGACGGATTTTGGTGAGATGAGGTGGTTGATGAACTAGGGTTAGAGGAGTTGAAGGAAGACGAAGGAGATTGAGAGAAATAGAGAGAGAATAGTAGGTCTGTCTGAGATGAGAACTGAAGAGGCTTAGAGCATCTCCAACCCATCCTCCATATTTGAAGATATGGAGGATCCTCTCCCAAAAACAACTCCAACCCATCCTCTATATCCTCCTCCATTTTGGAGGAGGATGAATTGATCCTCAAAATATAGAGGGAGGATGAAAAAATGGAGGAGACTCTAAAACACTATTCACTCTATATTTCTTAATTATATTCGAAATAACTTTTAATGTGTAAATTTAATTTTTATAAAAATGACATCAATAAAAAGTACAAAATCATACCTTTAAAATGAGTATAATATTAAATATGTTTTACAAAAATTTTAAAATTAAATATTTATTAATGAACAAAAATTACTTTTTGATTGGAGTTTGAATGAAGGAAATGAAGGTTTGTGGTTGGAGTTTGAATGAATAGTGACCTCCTCTATATTTACTTTTTGAATAAAAAATATTATTTCCATCCTCTTGAGAAGAGAATGTGGTTGGAGATGCTCTTAGAAAGAGAGAGAGATAGACTGACAGAGAGAGGGGTTTTAATAGTTGTTGGATGAGATGAAGGGAAGTGACAAATGAGAGGGTGAGAGACAAATGGGAGGGTGAGAGATAATCTGAGTCGTTGGATGCTCAAATCAATATTGATCCAACGGTTAGAACATTTAAAAGAAATGAGATGCATAAGATTTTTTTTTCCCAATTTTGTAGTGGTAATGGGTGAATTAGATTTTTTTTTTCAATTTTTTAATTTTTTTAAAATTTTGTCTAATTGTGTAGCATGTAAATATATATTTTTTTGATAATTTTTTTTAAAAATCATAAAAGACAAAAAAAAAAAAGACAGAAAAAGAAAAAATAAACTCGTATATCTAAATATCACCTTAACCTAAAAAAAAAAAAAAAAAAGAGGAGGGAAAAGTGGTTGGAATTATGTTAAAGTAATATTGTTATAATTTAATAATTTACGACTGCAATATGCCAAATTATAATTTTGATAATGCTATAATAGCAATTGGCATCGTAGACGCTCCAATGCGTGAAATAAACCGGATAAAAGGCCAATCGCTCCTCTCTCTCGCTCGCTCGCTCATAAATCGCACTCGCCTCTTCAGCCCTCACTGTCTTCTCAACAACTCCGCAAAGCCTCCAAAAACCCTTCCCCACCCCACCCCCGCCACCGCCACCGCCGTGAACGGCGGCGTAAACCACCATTCCTCTCTCCGATAAAACTCATCCGATTTCAGAATGCCAACTATGGCGAACTCCGAAGTCACTGACGGGCCAGTCCTCAGCTTCATCAACAAGCGTCTCCGTGCCCTCCGCAAGAAACTCAATCGCATTGTCCAACTCGAAGACTCCATCGCTCAGGGCAAGCCCATCAACAAGGAACAAGAAGACCTAATCGTCTCCAAACCCTCCGTCACCGCCTCCATCGACGAGCTCGAGAAGCTCCGCCATCCCCTCTCCGCCGCCATCGCTGAAGAAATAAACCTCGCCGTCCAACGCCACCACACCACCCCCTCCGATGATACAGAAAAGGACCGAAATGTGGCCGAGGTTGAATCCAAAGCGGTGGAGGATCTCCTGAACCTTCTCTACTTTGGGAGTATGTTTGATGTGAAGAGTCAGAACGATTTCACTTCGACGATGCTGACTCGGACTCACGAGAGGGGGTGCTGCTTGACCTACGACTACGTCACTGACGACGATGCCGCCGATCTGCTCGGCGAGAGGGACTTGGATTTGATTTCGATGTTGGGCGGTCTCTTGATTTCGCGGCCTGTCGATTCGAGCCTCTCGCATATGAATGCGTTGCGACGGTGCATTGAGCATGCGAAGCAATGGCTTTCCAATTCCGATCATCCAATCGATTCAGATCCGAATGTTACTTGTATGCTTACTTCATCACAAGTCTATGATTTTGTGAATATCTGTGTTTTTTCTTTTAGTGAATTTGACTGATGATTTTTGTAGATGCGGGGTTGAGAGCGAAGCTCAACAAGATTATGGCTTCGGACTATTTCACCACAACTCCGGAGATGAAAGCAACTGTTGAAATGGCTGCTGCAGCTGCCGGAAATTATGCCTCTTTTCAGGTGCCTGTGCATGGTTCCATGGTGCCAGTCCAAGTGGAAGGTTCGGATGAGCAATACCAGCAGGTAAAAAATTGATTTCCTCAGAAAAAAATTTGATTTATTTTCTCTATGATCATTAAGTCTATATGGGTTGTGCCGTACTAGCATTATGTTTGATGTTTCTTATCTTCTTTTGGTTTTATACATATCTGATAATGATATTATGGTCTTTGCTAAGTTTGCATCCTGTTGTTAGTGATTTTTATTTATCTACAACTTACACTATAGTGATGAACAAAGTCAGACAGTAAGTCTATGAGAGATAATCTGAGTCGTTGGATGCTCAAATCAATATTGATCCAACGGTTAGAACATTTAAAAGAAATGAGATGCATAAGATTTTTTTTGGAAAAATTAGCCTAAGGTCCCTCTCCCACTTATCGTAATGGAAGAGATCCACAAAATTATTTTTTGATGTCTAAGGTCCCTAAACATATATCAGAGAAATTTGACTCTTTTGTCTCTCCTCTCTCTTCTCTGCTTCTCCATCCTCCTCTCCACCCTCCTCTACGATCTCTTCCTTAACACCTTCTCCTTCGACTCCTCCTTCCGCTCCGCCACCGTCGCAGACCTCCGCGCCGCCCGGATCCGCGACCCGGCATGCCTCTCTGTAAATTTCTGATTGAACAGTTGAACATAGAGTTCACCCACGACACCTTCGATGGCAACCAAGTCTTAGAGCTCAGATTTGTACGAGTTCCTTACAAAATTTATCATGTCTGTGCAGTGACACAACCACGATGCTTTTAATGCCTTCTTTAGCGAGACAGGTGCAGGAAAACATGTGCCCAGAGCTATATTTGTTGACCTGGAACCAACTGTTATTGACGAAGTCAGGACAGGGACTTACCAACTTCTTCCAAACTGTTGCATTCAACCTTCCAAATGATGAGCGTATAGTGAAAGATCGGGGAACATCCATGGTCATGCTTAAAAATGTTTCAGAGGCAAAGTACAATTCTTTTCTTTGAAGCAATTATGCTCATGTTCAAATATAAAACTGATAACAGATGTCTCTTGTTGGCAATTATTGGAACTTCTTATTAGTTGAGATGGGAAATTTTTTGTTATCTTATATATGCCCTTGTTTAAAATTGAATTCATTTGGTCTTTTTTTCTCTACCAGGTTCAAGCATATTCTTCGGCCCATATCTGATGTATGTATTACGAAGAAACAACAGAAACATGTAGACTTTGATTCTTTCTTCACCCACACAATTTGCCATGAGTGTTGCCTTGGGATTGGGCTTCATACCATAACACTTCCAAATGGTGAAAAATCTATAGTTAGATTGGTCAGTTGCATTGTCATCATTTTCACGCTCTTTCTTTGTAACTTCCTCCTCACTTGTTTGGTTGTTAGCATCTCATTTATTTATGTTTCGCAACTAGTTTAGAGGGCATCATCTCTCTTTGTGATATCGAATTATTCTTCAATATTAAAACATATTTTTCCCATATGTCATTTTGTTTTAGTGTTGATGAATTAATAATTATTTGATGGATGGATACATATATGTGGCCTCAGGTTAGAAACGTATGGGGGCAAGAATCCAACATTGGGGGCAGAAGAAAGACATGGTGTGATAACCCTCACCCCTGTTTACCGATAAACTACTGATTACTGCTAAAATGAGACTGAACATGATTAGTAATTGAACTGACTGAATTACTGAACTGATTGACTGCGTATGTTAGTTAAATTGCATTTCTATCTGTTGACTGTTTAAATTATCTGTTCATGTTTTATGCTTTAAACTGCAAATTGAAGGCCTTATCGGCGACCGAATCTGAAATTGATTGACGCTTTATGATCATTAGAATTTATATGATTTATGGCATATTTAATTGAAAAGTGTTTTGGTATGATGAAATTAGATTGAATTAAGCTAAATTGCAGAGTTAGACTTATTTACCATCGTGCCATTGAGTGGGCCACTTAGCCAACACATACTTGAGCCTTGTTATACATGTAAACAAAACATTTCATCAGCCAAGTTCCTTGTTATTGCCGACTAGAGAGAGAGAGAGTGAGAGGAAAAGAGTGATTTCAATTTGCTTCATCTTGTATTGCTTGAAAATTGAGGAGATTGGAGGAGTTTGTGATCAATTGAGCTTCTAGACTTGTATTTGGGAACCTAGGTAAGGAATTTATCCTTTTAATTGTGTATTCAAGTTTGTTCTTGCATGATTCATGAGTCTTTAGTGATCGAAGTCATGAATTAGTTCTAGCATGTTGAGTTGTAGCTCTAATCTTGCATGCATGTTTGTATTGTTGAGTTTTAAGTTGTTTTCATGGCAAAATGTTACATGCATGCTCATAATTATGTTTAAGTCCATGATTTCACCTTGTTTTGAAAAGAATCGGCTCATTAGAGCATGTATTGAAGTTTTGAATTGATTTAAACTCATGCATGTTTGCATGTTCATCATGTTCATGAAAATTGGCTTGAAATTGAGTGTTTGAAACACCATTGGGCTTTGATTTTACAATTGAGCTTTGGAATCATGTTAAATTATGAGTTTTGGAATGTTTTCTGGAAAATTGGCCCAAGAGGATCGGAATTTGTGCATTTGAACTTGGTTTTGAACTTGGAAGTTCAAATCTGGAAATTCCAGATTTTGAACTCCCGCTCGAGCGGGAAAAATGACGCTCGAGCGGGAAATTCGTGCTCCCAATTTTTCGCATTGTTTTGACGTCCGCTCGAGCAGAATAATTGACGCTCGAGCGGGACCTTGTGTATTACGCTCGAGCGGCTATCGAGCGCCCATCAAGTGTGATTTTCACCTATCCAGTACTTTTGCCCTGTTTTGCAGAACGCGCGAGCGGGAAAGTATACGCTCGAGCGGATACCTTTGTCTTCATGTCCACTCGAGCGGGGAAACCTACGCTCGAGCAGGACCTCTGTTTTCTGAAAAATATTTTAAAGTGCATCTTTGCATCCTCATTTCATCCTAGGCATTCTTAGGCCTAGTTTAAGGCATCTTAATGATGATATAGAAGTAGAACACACCGAGGCAAATTAGGGATTAAGTTATTATCTTTCCCAACTGTGTAGCTTAGTGTGTGTTCATCTTGTAAACTGTGTAGGGTTGGCGACTAGAGACGCGCTCTAGCTTAACTGTAGCTCAGAACTCTGTGAGTAACAACTGTGTAAAGATATGTTCAAAGATGAATATTTTCTGATTGTTAACTGAACTGCTTTCTGAACTGTTATTGTCAACTGAATGAATGTATGTCCAATATTCTGAACTGTATTGTGGCATCCTTAACAACTACTATTTACTGTTACTGCTACTGTTATAGAGATCTCTGTCGGTTCCTATGTGGAACCATTGCTGTTTACTGTTATGATGGCCATCATTGACTGCTCGGTCTTTTAAGACCTACTGTTTACTGTACTGTTATGCTAATGGATGTACCACATATGACTGTTATGACTGAACGATTGAAATACTGATTTAATGAACTGTTTTTATTACTGTAAGGACATTCATTCTTAACCTCTTTACACATTATGTTATTCACTGGGCTTTAACTCACTGTTTATATATATATATATATAGGTGTACAAGCACCAGACCGGAGCTAGGAGCGTGGGTTGGACTCCCTTTTTGTCAAGCCAACCACTGTGCCTCACTGCGAGGTTCCGAGGCTGTCAAGCTATGGCTTAGGGGTGTTTTAATTTCCTCCATTTGTCTCTGTATCTGTTTTGTAATAATTGTATAGACTGATAGCACTGTAATGTACTGTCCAACAGGGATTAGGTCCCTGTTCTGATTGACTGTAAATGTTGTACATATTGTTCTGTATTGTTCATGTATATACGTATGAAAAATCTTTTTGCATACAGACTCACAGCTCATTGGACATTGTTTATTTACTGTTTTGGCTTCCGCCATGCCCCTGTACTCTGTATTATTATCTGACTGTTAAGCAGGCCTTTGGTAATCTTGGGTTACTGGCGGGTTACGGTGCTAAACCCATAGGGACGGGTTTGGGTCGTGACACATGGGGCAGATGCTGCCAATAATTTTGCCAGAGGGCATTATACAGGTAAAATCTTCACTGTTCATAAAATTCACCACCCAGCACTTGGAACGTTTCTGTTTGTGAGGCTTAAACCTGTTTTTGGTGATGTTATCTGGATTTGGCAATTTTCTCTAGATTACTTTTGAATTTTATCTGAATTTGGTAATTTTCTCTGAATTACCCTTGAATTTTCTCTGGTTTCAATTTTCTTTGATTTTTCTCTAGTTTGAATATTCTCTGGTAAAGAATTTTGAATATTCTCTGATAAAGGATTTGAATTTCTCTAGTAAGGACATAGGGTTTGAATTTTCTCTGTTCATGATGGCATTTGTTAAGGACATAGAGTTAACTGAATTGATTGCTGAGTTGAATTTCTCTGGGTTGAAACCAGAGAAATTCTCTGGTTTTTAAAATTTCTCTAGGCTGAAATTTCTCTGGACTGGAATTTCTCTGGACTGAAATTTCTCTAGATCAATGTTGAGGGAGCTTAGACATTATGAAAATATTAGATGTCCTTTATACTATAAAGTCTTAATACCAGGGACCCTAAAAAAAAAACTCCATTTTTTTCCCCCAATTTTGTAGTGGTAATGGGTGAATTAGATTTTTTTTTTTTTCAAATTTTTAATTTTTTTTTAAATTTTGTCTAATTGTGTAGCATGTAAATATATATTTTTTTGATAAATTTTTAAAAAAATCATAAAAGACAAAAAAAAAAAAAAAAAGAAGACAGAAAAAGAAAAAATAAACTCGTATATCTAAATATCACCTTAAAAAAAAAAAGAAGAGAAAAGTGGTTGGAATTATGTTAAAGTAATATTGCTATAATTTAATAATTTACGACTGCAATATGTTTAATAATTTACGACTGCAATATGTTAAATTATAATTTTGACAATGCTATAATAGCAATTGGCATCGTACATGCTGCAATTCGTGAAACAAACCGGATAAAAGGCCAATCGCTCCTCTCTCTCGCTCGCTCGCTCGCTCATAAATCGCACTCGCCTCTTCAGCCCTCACTGTCTTCTCAACAACTCCGCAAAGCCTCCAAAAACCCTTCCCTACCCAACCACCGCCACCGCCACCGCCGTGAACGGCGGCGTAAACCACCATTCCTCTCTCCGATAAAACTCATCCGATTTCAGAATGCCAACTATGGCGAACTCCGAAGTCACTGACGGGCCAGTCCTCAGCTTCATCAACAAGCGTCTCCGTGCCCTCCGCAAGAAACTCAATCGCATTGTCCAACTCGAAGACTCCATCGCTCAGGGCAAGCCCATCAACAAGGAACAAGAAGACCTAATCGTCTCCAAACCCTCCGTCACCGCCTCCATCGACGAGCTCGAGAAGCTCCGCCATCCCCTCTCCGCCGCCATCGCTGAAGAAATAAACCTCGCCGTCCAACGCCACCACACCACCCCCTCCGATGATACAGAAAAGGACCGAAATGTGGCCGAGGTTGAATCCAAAGCGGTGGAGGATCTCCTGAACCTTCTCTACTTTGGGAGTATGTTTGATGTGAAGAGTCAGAACGATTTCACTTCGACGATGCTGACTCGGACTCACGAGAGGGGGTGCTGCTTGACCTACGACTACGTCACTGACGACGATGCCGCCGATCTGCTCGGCGAGAGGGACTTGGATTTGATTTCGATGTTGGGCGGTCTCTTGATTTCGCGGCCTGTCGATTCGAGCCTCTCGCATATGAATGCGTTGCGACGGTGCATTGAGCATGCGAAGCAATGGCTTTCCAATTCCGATCATCCAATCGATTCAGATCCGAATGTTACTTGTATGCTTACTTCATCACAAGTCTATGATTTTGTGAATATCTGTGTTTTTTCTTTTAGTGAATTTGACTGATGATTTTTGTAGATGCGGGGTTGAGAGCGAAGCTCAACAAGATTATGGCTTCGGACTATTTCACCACAACTCCGGAGATGAAAGCAACTGTTGAAATGGCTGCTGCAGCTGCCGGAAATTATGCCTCTTTTCAGGTGCCTGTGCATGGTTCCATGGTGCCAGTCCAAGTGGAAGGTTCGGATGAGCAATACCAGCAGGTAAAAAATTGATTTCCTCAGAAAAAAATTTGATTTATTTTCTCTATGATCATTAAGTCTATATGGGTTGTGCCGTACTAGCATTATGTTTGATGTTTCTTATCTTCTTTTGGTGATATACATATCTGATAATGATATTATGGTCTTTGCTAAGTTTGCATCCTGTTGTTAGTGATTTTTATTTATCTACAACTTACACTATAGTGATGAACAAAGTCAGACAGTAAGTCTATGGTTTTGGGGCCTTTTAAGAGTTCAGATCAATATAATGGGTGTTGTTGGCTGTCTGCCATGAACAGAAGAAACTATGTCCTCTTGAATCTAGAAAATTTGTTGCAAAAAGAAATGTGTAGTTAAACCTGGTTTCCATTTTTTAGTATGATTTGCTGCTGTGCCAGGGTTATTCTGTTTTGCTGAAGAGTTGCTTTGCCATGTAAGATTGGGTTGTATGAGGCTATAAGATGATTGTTTAGGCGGTGTACTTGTATTGCATTCAAATTAATTGAAGGTTGCAAGAACAATGCTTGTTTTATTGTGGTTATTCACTTTGTTTGGATGCATTTGTAGGCGACGCGATTTATCATTCTCACAACACTCGTCCTTGTGGAAGTAGTTAGTTGTTAAAAAATTGGGAATGATTTGTCTTTCTATGGGATTTATATTCTGGTTCTCAAATTGGTGGTAGTACCCATAAAATAGATATATTCATATATCTAGTTTATCAAGTTGTTAGATCCCGCATCGAAGCTTCCTTCTTCTGGTGGAAATAGTCAAAAAGCAGATTTAGTATCTTTCTTGCTCTTTCTCTGATTGTTTTGTTTTGTTTTCTTTCTTTCTTTCTTATTTATTTATTTATTTATTTTTCAAATGAAGAAGTAGACAAAGTTAAGTAGACACTTTGTTTTGCCGGCTGTAGATTTTAACCTCTGTTATCAGAATCTTACGATTCGCGATTCGATTCACGATTCGATTCGCAATTTTTGCAAAATCGATACGAATCTAGGGGTGAATCTATTTTGGAAGTGAATCTCTAGTGAATCGCACGATTCACAATTGATTCACGATTCAATTCACTTGTTACGATTTATGTAATTTTTGAAATTATTGTATCCGATATATTTTTGACTCTATTTTTCCTCCCATCTTTTTAGTAAAAATAACATAATAAGACTTCTTATAGCGTTTAATACCAAAATAACCAGCATATATACATGATTTTTTGTTATTTTAGTGATCATGAAGTTTTTAATAGGATCCAATTAGATTTAGTCAGACCCAACATATTTTTAACCTTTCTTCTCATTTTTTTTCCTTTAAAAAATTGTAATATATCTTCTAAAGATGTTTAATATTAAAATTACACTATGAATTATCTATTGCTATTTTATTAAATTAAATATTACATGTATGAGGTCAATTATACTTTTTAAAATATTTTAGGCTTTAAAAAAAAATATTCTAAATGATTCTTTCTTTATTTGCTCACTGTTACTTAGAAAAGTATGTATGCTTATTGTCCAAATATCAATATCGTTGTTAATTATTGTTACTTTAGAAATTGATAGTTTGTCTATCTGGTTATTATTTTTATTAAGAATGGTTGATAAGAAATATCTAAAAAAGAAAAAAAAAGATAAGATGGTGATCTTACATAGGAACGTTTGTTAACTTTTTAATTATTAAATTACGTGATTATCATTCAAAATAACATTTTTATTGATTTAAGTCTAAATATTTTATATTCATAAGATATATTTAACATCTAAATGTGTAAATATATGTTTTTAAATAATTTAGAAGAAGTGACCGAATCTTTACGATTCACGATTCGATTTGATTCGCGATTTGGTACGAGACCATTTCGATTCACGATACGAATCTCGATTTGACAACTATGATTTTAATTGTAAATATTTTCATTTTTGAATGAACCTTAGCTGTGTGTAATTGGCTAGAAGGAAAAAAAAAGAAATATAAAAAATACTTCAGCATTCTTAAGGGGATAGTGTTTTCTTTTTGCCACATTTTTGGGCCTCGATTTCTAACCATTTTAGAATAATTCCTCTCCTATTGATTTGTAGGGATTGGAGGGCAATATGTGAAGTGTAGTTTGAGAGATTGTTAGAGGGAAAAAAAAAAAAGAATTGTAAAAGAATACTTCAGCATTCTTATGGGATAGAGTTTTCTTTTGTTACCTTTTTGGGCCTTGATTTCTAACCATTTTAGAGAATTCCTTTCCTTTTATATTTTAGGGATTGGAGGGCAATATGTGAAGTGTAGTTTGAGAGATTGTTATGTGAATGTAGTTTGAGAGATTGTTAGAGGGGAAAAAAAAGAATTGTAAAAAATACTTTAGCATTCGTATGGGATTGAGTTTGCTTTTTGTTACCTTTCTGGGCCTTGATTTCAAACCGTTTTAGAAGAATTTTTCTCCTTTTGATTCCTAGGGATTGCAGGCTAGTATTCAATGTGTAATTTGAGAGATTGTTTATTTTTTCTTTATTTTTTATTTCTCTTGAGATTCCTTGTCTCTGGTATCTTGTAATTTTCTTTTTTCTTTCTTTTAAATAATATTTTTTTCTTTTGTTGTCTGTCGCCAATAGTTAAAAAAAAGAGAGGAAAATGGAGAGATTAGTGATATCATAATATGTGGTGAAGGTCATGTTGTCTTTCCATAATGCTAGTTTGTTTGCCAACATTGAAGTTAGTTTCTCACTCAAACATGGGTGCAATAATTTTTTCCCCCCCTCCTGTGGTAGCTAGGCCTTAGCTTTGAGAGTTTCTTGACTTCCTATTAGTGGATGGTTCTTATTTCTTTTCTGTGTGATCTTTCTTCTTCCCATATGAAGTTCTTTTTTTTAGGTTTTTTTTTTTTCCTTCTTACATGTGATTGTTCTTATAGAAATGGATTAGTTTGATAGGAATGTGCTTTTTGATAGTTTGTTATACTAATAAACTTGTAGTCACAGGATCTCTAATGAAAATAGTCATATCTTAAAACTGATATACAATTGGTGAATAATGGGCAATTTGTTTACATGTGTGTGCATATATTGAGTTCTATCTTATGGTGCATGGGTACTTAAAAAAAATGATGTTGCACTGTATAGTATGGCTCCAATACTACTGCACACGTATTGGGTACGTGAATTATGTGTCTATCTAATTATTTAAAAAATATATATGATTTTTGGGCATGGGTCGGGTATGACATGGATATGATTTTGGTGTGACATGGGTACGTATCGGGTACTTTTGTGGATATATAGAGGTTGAAATGTATTATTTTTTTTTAATAAAAAAATATAGGACTACTGTAATAAATTTATTATGTTTATTTTTAGAAACTTTAAAAAGAAAGGGTATCTTTGCAAATGTCCCAAATCAAAAATTACATTTAGGATTCTGTTATCAGACTAAGTAATTTTGTGTCCATAGAAGAGTAACCCTTTGTTTCTCTCTTAGTCTGACACTCAATAATCTCGTCGATGCTCAACACCAATGCCTTCTAGTAAATCTCCTCTTCTTTCTGACTCTCTCTCTTTCTGTCTTCTTTATCTTAATTTTCTTAGCGATCTTCTCTTGATCAGATTATCTTGTACTGGGGAGGGGGAGGGTGGAGGGGGCCTGATTAAATGGGTTTCATTAAATTTGAAAATGCCTTAACACAGTTGTGTGCTATAATCCCACATCGATTGACAATAGGCTTGGCCATCTGAATTTAAACTTTTTGAGCACACTTCCTTTGCAAATTTTGTTTTTAAGGATGAATTATATCCAAAAATTTGTGCCCATTTGGTGTTAGAGCCTACTACCATCTCAAGTCTTAAATCAAACCAAATCAAACCAAACCAAGCCTTAAGTCTCATCAAATGGGGTCGGCTACATGAATCCTTCTTCTCCATTCGATTCTATCAAAGGCTATTTGGTTAATTAAATTAAGGATATGCATATCTTCCCTCTACCGTTGCTGTATCGTATTTCTTTACTACTGTTTCTGTTGTATATGACCAAGCCATCTCAATCTATTCGTTATCAACTTATTTTTTGTTGGTGCTACTCTTACCCATTCACGAATTTTCTAATCTTGTCACAAATCTACCTTAGCTCCTCATCTTAGCAACACTCATCTCATCTACATGTTGTTCTTAGTTGCCCAATATTCCGTCCTATATAATATCGTTGGTTTAATATCCGTTCTATAGAATTTTCCTTTTAATTTTAGTAGGTACTCATTTATCACACAGTACCTTAGATGCACTCCTCCACTTAAGCCACCTTGTCTTAATTTTATGGATCACATCTTCTCCAACCTCCCTAGCCATTGTGATAATCAATCCTAAATAACGAAATTGTTCACTCTTACGTAGTTCTTGGTTCTTAATCTTCATTCCTTCTTTGTATCCGTTTCCATTGTTACTATTACTAAAATTACATTCCATGTATTTTGTTTTAATTTTGCTTATCCTAAATCTTTTAGATCAAGTAGTTTTCTCCAAGTCTCTAACTTAGAGTTAACTTATTCTCTAGTCTTATCCATCCACCATCTAAAGTATGGGATTGAATCGGGGTGCTGCCTTCTAGCATGGTAGTCACCTTCCTACAGTCCAACCATCAATTAAATAAGAAAATGAAATTCAAAAACTATGATTTCTTTAATCATAAGTTGGTCTTATGCTTTTAAGAAGCTATACAATGTACTTTAACCTTATAAACCATATCACTATTTTACTGAATTCAAAAGCACTTTTCATTGATGTCAAAACTTCGTTTAACCTTTTCACCATTTCCAAAACACTTTTTACACATATTTCAACTTTAAACAATGCCCTAGGGGCACTTGTTAGCATTTGTCTTCTTTTACTCCTTTAATCCACAAGCTTATGAAACTTTGAACCATTTATTTTATTTGCGTAAGGGAATCACTTTCGCAAGGGAATAATTGTGGATGTTAAACCACGATAGCGAGTCTCTGTCTTTGGACATTTGGCGATTGCAGA